CGACAGAAAAAAATTGTCGAGCAAAATTTTACATTACCAAATTTTTACTGGTTATGAATAACCCCGTGATTGATAAAATGAAAAAAAAAACGTAGCCGGAGATTCGAACCGGTACACTTATTATACATATTACGGCAAACATACTAGAATACTGCGCCCAACTAGTATATATTGTGACAAGGCAAAATTTGATATTAGTTATTACGTATCTGTCATATTCTGCGTGACAAACTTTTATATTTAAGCGTTATGACAGGAGAAGAAAAATATTGGGTTGCCCAGTAAGTTCGTGCCGCTTTATAAGGAAAATTGAAACCCTGTTCTCTTAAATTTTTGGAAATGTTTTTAAATTATATTGGTACGACTCTATACCTAAAACGTCTTTTATTTTTGGCTAAAATTTTAAAAATTAGTTTTTATCTCAACCAATGAAATGAAATTATTCACAATATAGAAATTTTTGAGACGTTTGATAATGGTGGAAATCCGAAAATGAATCCACTTCAGCTACAGTCTATTGTAAGCTTTATATCGAAAATCAGAACGAACTTTCCGGACAACCTATAATGTTGATGCAAAGTGTCAAATAAATGTAGCAGAAGTAGTTTATTCCAAATTGTATCACAAGTGTATAGAGTTCAATTTTGTCAAATGTTACGATATTTTTGCACACCTTGACTGCTTCGTTACTTATGACGCTGTGGCTGCTACGATATTTATGGGCACCTTGCATGTACTCATATATTTGACGCTGTGTATGTACCGATGTATTTGAGCAGGGTGAATGTATCTATTAATTTGAAGACTTTTGTTGTACCGATATAATTGATTACTTTTGGTGTTCCTATATATTTACATATCTTGTCTGTTACGATATATATGACGCTGACTGTACACAGGCGTTTGTGTACCAAAAAAGTGACTTATCTCAGGTCATAAACCTTTGTTGGTCTAAACTTCTAGGACCAACGCAAAGTAATCGTAGGAGGATAAATAAAACCACCAAACTGTTGTGTTCAAAACACGTTTTTTATGCTTTTTATTGAAAAATATTTGACGGACGCAGGTGTACGCGTCAGCAGGGTGGCATGCGGTGTCATTTGACACTACCTTGTTGTTACTGCGCCCCTCCCCCTCCCCCCTCTTTGGCGCTCATAAAAAGCCTCGCTCGGACAAGTGGGATGTATCTCTTGTCGTGGCAGCACAAGCGAAAACATACCTTATAAAAACAATCTCTCCAAAACCTTACACTTTTCAGTCTTTACAATAAACTCCTCTCGGTTATTTCACCGTTGGCACGTTGTCGGATTATAACCGCACTCCGAGTCATTTAATGATTATTTAAACAACGCTTAGTGTACATTTCTAACGATGTATAGTGCAATTGGTGTATTTATCTATTTAAATCCGTTCATCTGACAACAGACCAACAATGTAACAAACGGCCTTGCTGGTAACACACAATCCATCTCCCATAAGGCAATTTATATATACATTTAATATATATATTTAACAACACAACTGCACCTTCGGACAATCTAATCACAAAGGTTTAAAAGAGTTGTTACAGTATTCCGAAGGCGCGATGTGTCCGCCCACTGTTCACGAGATGATTCCACAAACAGTCGGTATTTACATAAGCAAAATTAAAGTGCCACATTTTCAGGTACAAAATAAAATAAATAAACAAGGTTATTTTTT